TCCCAGAAGTGGTCAGAAACTCCTACCTGAAATATTTTTAAATACAAATCTGAGAAAGATCTTGGGAACGCTGTTCATATAGAAACTTCTGTCTTGCTGTGAAAGTAACCACAAAATATTTAAAATATGTACAGCTTCCAGTTTCTATCTATCTATCTATCTATCTATCTATCTATCTATCTATCTATGTCTGTCTGTCTGTCTGTCTGTCTATCTATCTATCTATCTATCTAGTCTTTTTGAGACAGGTTCTCTCTATGCAGTTCTGGCTGGCTTTGAACTCACTTTGTAGCCCAGGCTGGCCTCAAATTTACAGTAATCCTCTTGCCTTGGCCTCCCACCTGCTTGGATTACAGGCATGTGCCACCACTCCCAACTGACTTCCAGTTTTAAAAATCCTTTTTATGTCTGTTCTGTCAATTGAAAATAATTGAATTGAACCAATGGTGATTACAGTTATCAAAACCATAATGTCGAGTGAAAGGAACAGACACACCAGTTTAACTAGCTCATGGGTGTTCTTATGTGAAAAATCAAAAGTATAAATTAATTAAAGAGCAAAATAGCAGCTTCTGGAAGACAGCAGACTAGATCTTTTGCTAACAAGAAGGGAGCCAAGAATGGGGAAGGGAAGAAGACATGGAAAGAACTGAGGTGTCTTCTGTACATGGGCCAGCTGCCCACAATGAGAGTAATACTTGTGTACCTTCATTGATTGAAAATTTATACTCCCTTAATCTCCAATCCTTACCACAGCTTGCTCCTGAGACGAAGGCTGTCATCCACTGGATTATGGATATTCCCTTTGTGCTCTCTGCCAATCTCCACGGAGGGGACCTGGTGGCCAATTACCCATATGATGAGACGCGGAGCGGTAGGCGACCTTTCTGCTTCTCCATGTGGTTCAAAGCTCATGATTCCTACAGAAAGGTTCACAAGATAATTTTTGTTATATTCTAAGAAGCAGCTATTAAGTGACTTTGCCTATAGAAATACATTTGTTTAAAGACATCTTACATATATTTTATTTATTTGGCAGGAAGAAATGGTAACTTTTTTCGAAGTTTGGGTAAAAAGAGACACAACCTTCATAGAATCATTAGATCAGCTTGGGTTTTAGGTCAGTCCTGGACCCTGGGAAAGTGAAGAGATTATGAGACCTATGTAGCATTGTATACAAGATGGTTTAAGAATGGACATAGCGGGCTGGGGTGATAGCTTGGTGGCATAAGTGCCTGCCTGGCAAGTGCAAGGTCCTGAGTTCCATCCTTGGTACTGGAAAGAAAGAAAGAAAGAAAGAAAGAAAGAAAGAAAGAAAGAAAGAAAGAGAGAGAGAGAGAAAGATCAGACAATGGAGGTAGCCTCAGACAAGGTGTCAGGGTCCATGTGTGTCTGAGGATGCTCTCATTTTTATGCAGTAGGATCGTGTGTGAGTGAGTGTGTGTGTGTGTGTGTGTGTGTGTGTGTGTCCGTGTCCATCTGTCTGTCAGTAAGGAGTGCTGTGGTTTTCTCTAGCTAGTTTTCATTAAGCTTCCAGTAAAGCCAACTGTAGCCAATTTTTATTGCTCCCGGAAATTTCCAGCTTTGGATCCATTCTTGGGGCCATTGAAGATTAGGCTCTCTGCAAACCCAGGATGACAACTTTAGACACTGGAAACTGAGATTTCAAAGCAGTCTGGTTAAACAGTATTGAAAATAAATGTAGGGGTTTTGTGGTTTATCCATAGCTGGGAGACTTGGGCAGATACATTTTATGATGCACGAATGAGAATATATGGTATCGACATTCCTCTGTCATACACATAGGAGTTATTATAAAAAACCTCAAATGTTGAATATGTGTTTTGTGGTGCTGTAAGATTGATAATGGTGCATTTTTAAAAATACAGTTTGCACAGTGGAACTCTTGCTGTTCTCCCAGGTCTACTCTGCTACGGCCTCATCCCCTCTTCGTGTGAAGCTTTCAGTTCACAAGTAGAATGTGATTTCTACTCAGTTGCTGCTTTTTGTATCAGGGATGGAAGTTAAGTAGTCCAAAGTCTATGTGTAGTGTTTTTGTATTTTAAATTTTCACACCTTTCCCATAGCGATGTGGCTGAAAAATAGAGCAGCAGGCGCTCAATACGAAATCACTCTTTAGCAAATGCGTACTTCTTATTTTGTGTGGATTTACTTTCTAGGCAGTGCTCATGAATATAGCTCCTGCCCAGACGACGCCGTTTTCCAGAACTTGGCTCGGGCATACTCTGCTTACAACCCTGCCATGTCGGATCCCAACCGGCCGCCCTGTCGCAAGAATGACGACGACAGCATCTTTGTGGATGGGACAACCAATGGTGGGGCTTGGTACAGCGTGCCTGGGGGTGAGTTTCCATTTGCATTCTGATTATGTGATGTTGGCCTCTTTGTCATTACTGTTCAGATTCACAGAGTGCCTTACATTTGGAGAAATTTTGCTCTTCCCCATTCAGAAGACTGAATCTATAGTTCTAACCTTAAAGTTAAATTTAGGCATGAATAATACATAATTTTGTTTTTTAGATTTAAAAAAAATCCAGGTTGCTAAATAAGACTTACAGAAAACAAATTGAAGGTGTCCACTGGTAAAATAAAATTGAATATTATTAATTACCCTTCTTGTAGTCCTGAGGCAAGAAGATAGTAGCCTTATTACTGGTTAGTCATATTTCACTATGGGTAAATGCATATTTTATCAGGTACGCTGTGCTTTTTTCTGTACCTTGGTGTGTACACTTTTTCATTTTTTAAAAGATGGGGGGGGGGTGCTGGGGAGATGGCTCAGTGGAATAAGCACTTCCCTGGCAAGAGCAAGGACCTGAGTTCAATCCCTGGTTCCACAAAAAAAAAAAAAAAAAGATGGGCTAGGGCACCGTTTGACACAGATTATGTGGGTTGTGCACACTCCGGTAATAAGCACAGTTAGGTCAGGGAGGTTTTTACCGATTATAGGGCTCGCGAAGGGTGAAGCCTGGTACAGAACACAGCTGGGGGAGCCACTTTGCTGAACCACCAAGACAGTCCTGTCTCCCCCATTGTCCCATCAGCGACTCCACACAGCTCTTATTTTGTTATCACTGTGCTGACTGTTGGCCCGTGTGGTACAGTACTTGTCTCAAGTAGGAAGGAAAAGTAAAATATAATGATATGGGCAGTGGCAGCAGGTAATTATAGGAATTTGTTAGATAAGCTTATTTTGTTGTATTATGCTGTGAGAAAAATATTCTTTGTATTATTTTCCAGTAGGCCTTTGTTTTGCTTTGGTTTATAATTTGTATTTGCCCAGACCAGATATAGTACATTTTTGTTCTTTATAATTTGAGAAATAAGACCTATTTCAGATTTAGGATGGAGAATAAATCAAATATATCAGATGGAAAGGAATTTTATACCTTTGTTCGTATAAAAACTTTAGTAATTTCCTTGGAATTAACTTTCGGAACAAAGACTATATTATTTACATAGTATCAAGTAACCTATATTAGTAAAATATTGATGGCAATAATATTAGCAATAACAATAATATTAGTCAGTGATTATTTCCCACAGTAATCATCCAATGACATCTTTGATGTTTTTTTTTTTTTAGCTTTTTCTATAGTGAATAAATTAGCTATTTTGAGCAAAGATTTCTAGACGCGGAGCCTGAGACTGTTTTAGGTGTTCATATCTTTGAGGGACACTTTTTAGGGAGATGTCCTCAGGTGGCGTCTAGCCTTGGCCAGAGCTGTTGGGAGCAGGGCCTGATGCGTAACTCAACAGGTCAGCATAAAGCAGGGCGAGTCATCACTCCTTTGGGCGAGGAGACCGGCTTTTTGTGGCTGCCTGTCAGTTAGCCACTTCTCTGTGCTGTGACTCTTATGCCAGGTAGCTTCTGTTTGAAGGTCTCTGGGAAGAGGGGGCAGTTGTGCACTCTGAGCAGCCAGCGCTCATGGCAGCTTGGTGGTGGCTACCCAGCTCTATGGCAGAGATCCGACGGGCACCAGCAGCACACGCTGCCAATCTGAATCCAGTTCCAGTTAAAGTTCTTCTGGCACAGAATCTCTTGTCTGGCAAAGCTTGAGGTGTTCTTAAAATGGCCTAGGAGTAGTAGATACTCAGAGATTATTGAATTAGATTGTTTTCCTGTCCGTGGTGCTGGGGATTGAACCTTGGCCTTGTGTATACAAGGCAAGAGCTCCACTGCTGAGCTGCAGCTCAGCCTAGAGATTATAGAATTAATCCATAGTGTGTTATCAAGACCCCCAGTGCCTTAGGATTGCCCTTGACACTGGCCAGAGTGCTGCAGAGAATAGTGTGCCGGATCTTCACACACGACTCTCCAGCTTCTTCCCTGATAGAAGGTGCCCCTAGAGGGATTTCTTGAATAGATCTGCAGGGACTGGCACATTCATCTTGAAGCTAAATACTTGAGAACCTGAGAGAGAGGGTGTGACTCACCCCTGTGTGTTTTCTGATCCCCTGTGGTAGGTGGATCTTCCAAAGGCTCCCTGGAAGGTACCGTCGTTGTTCCACTTAGCTCCGTGCAGAACACAGATATGAACACATTGCGTACATGCCTGTGTTGACTTTCCATTTGGCGCTTTGGCAGGAATGCAAGACTTCAACTACCTGAGCAGCAACTGTTTTGAGATCACGGTGGAGCTTAGCTGTGAAAAGTTCCCCCCAGAAGAGACCCTGAAGAGCTACTGGGAGGATAACAAAAACTCCCTCATTAATTACCTTGAGCAGGTAAATATGGTATCTAGAATCAAATGAAAGATTTAAGAGCATGCAAATCTTGTGTACAGTAGTCTCTGAAAAGCAGTCTCATGCAGGGAAATCCATCTAAACACGAGTGAAGATGCTATCCTGGGAAAGCAGGCATCAGTGACGGTTCAGATGGATTTCATTTGCCATACATTTTGTGGTTTACAGCCGTTCACTGAACACTGGCCACACTGGCATGTTGTGAAGTGCGGCACAATCATATTTTCATCTGTGTGGATGTCTTACTTTGTTCATTGCTGAGATAAATTACCTGACACCAAAGTTAAAGGAAGAAAGGTTTACTGGACTCACAGTTTGTAGAGGTTTCAGTACACAGGTAGCTGGCTTGAAGGCAGGGTGGCATTCGGCAGACAGGCATTGCAGAGGAGAAATGGTTTGTGGTGGGCAGAGAGTAGCAAACGGGGGACATTTGCAGCTTTTTTTCTGCCCCTTTTACATTCTATCCAGGCTACTGGGATTAGGGTGGTGCCAAGCCAGTCAGTGGACTAATGTAGTAATCACACACCTTTAATCTTAGCATCCTTAATCTTAGCATTGCACCAGTGTGTCCTGAAACCCCACCCTGAGTGCTCAGCCTCACCCTAGTCTTCGGGTAACAATGACAGTTGACACTGACTGGGCATTTAGCCTTTCCGTGGAATAGTTCTGTCTTGTGTGTAATCATTTGTGTGTTTATCCTCATGACAGCAGCCCTGTGAGAGAAATTATGCCACTATCATCATCTGTGAATTAAGGATGAAGAATTGGGACTCCGAGAGGTTCAAGCACTGGCCTGGGGCTGTACAGTCATGAGTTAATGCGGGCTGTGTAATTTTGGAGTCATTGTGCATAATGCTGGGTCTTGACTGGAGTCACTTAGGTAGTCACTCGAGTGGGGTCTCTATAGAATGTGGTGTATCTCACAGGGTGCCAAAATAAAATGCCCCGCCCCCTCAGGTTGTCCTGCCTGTAGCCACCTTCATTCCCTTCGTAGTATGTAGACATTGGCGCTTGGCCACGGTAGTGGAAAGACCTCAAAATGCCATTCTTTGCGTGCAGTGCCTCGACCAATTTTAAATTCCATTCTGGATGTGATCATTTATCCCTACAGCCAAGTAGAGGGATGTTGATTTCATGTGCCAGTGGATAGTCCAGACTAATTTATTCACCTAGTTTGGCATGAACAAATGCTGTTGAATGAAGCTACTTATTGACACACACGCACACACACACACACACACACACACACACACACACATGCATGCACACACACATGCACCAAATGTAGTTTTGAAAAAAATAAAATTAGCTTAGAAATTTTTTATACATGTCTTATATGATGTCTTACTGAAAGGGACTACTAGGGAATGGATTTACACTTCTGCAGGATTTTTAAATTCATAAATTCCTGCTGCGTGTCAGCTGGAAAAATGGCTTTCATGGACAAAAGCTAAGACTAATTTGGAAAATTGGTGAAGATGCTACAGAATGTTTCTTTCTAAGGAGAGTTGTATTTAAGTAGAGCTGTATTTGGTCCAAGAACAAAGTTAACTGAAAGAAATATACCTTTGAGTAGAGGAGGCAAGATGGGGTTGTTCGCTGTATTTCCTGCTTGAGTATGTCAGAGTGTCTCCCTACTATAGTGAGTTTCACTTTGCACATTTATTTCAACATATATTGAGCTACTTTCATGTCACAGGCCCTCTTTGATGCATTGGGAATAGAGACCTTCTCTGGGTTTCATGTTAATGGGTCAGAAATTGGCTCCCTTATCACAAATGCTAAAACAAAGGTAACCACAAGAAGCCCTGGGGGCCCTAAACCCAGCTGTGGGAGCCCAGACAAAGGCGTCCGAGAGCTGTATTTATTACAGTCTTTGCAGTAAGCCATCATCTCAATCAGCAGTTAAAAGACAGGTTCAGCTGCTGCATAGGTTGTCTCAGTTCTTGAGAAAATTACAATGCAAAACAAAACGTGTGCCATCAGGAAAGAGGAGAGAGGACATTTATCGTATTTGTGGCGCTGGGTGGGCATGTGTCCAATGCATCTGGTTGTAGAAACAGGCTGAAAACATAAGACGAGATTCTGCAGTCCTGTTTCAAGCCATTTGGAAGGAGCGTTTGTTCTGTCCCTAGTCATGTGCTCACCCTGCCCGTGGCCTGGGTGCCAGGTGTTAGGGTGTGGGTCATGTAGAGGCAGGAAGAGTGGCTTTGTATGGAGATCTTCTGCAGCTGACGTCACAGAATATTCCAGTTTAGGGAATCCAAAGACGATGAAAGATCTGTGAAGGCTGCCAGAAGTTCTATGTTGGAATTGTTTTCTTTTTTTTTTTTTTTTTGGTTTTATTTTTTTTTCAAAGTTTTATTGATAAACAGATAGCAATGAGACAGTTTTAAATCAAATCGGAAGTACAGTTTCAACAAATAATACACTGCATA